GTCTGTCTGTCTGTCTGTCTGTCTGTCTGTCTGTCTGTCTGTCTGTCTGTCTGTCCCCATTCCGAACAGGTTTGTGATTAAAACAAGACTATACCTTGAAACCTGTCTATTCGACGATGAAAATGCAAACGTTTGCATTATTACAGCTACACCTCCTGGAACAAAACACGTAATAGGTCTTCGACTTGTAAGTTTAAATTGTCGAGATAATATTATTTATCTCAATATGTGAAATTTCCGACATGTATGATTTTGATTGCAAAAGACAACTAAGTAGATCAGCCATATTTTACAACTCGGCCTGAATCGCACTATATTATTAATCCAATCGCCTATTCCAATTCCACATGCCGATAAAAAAACGTTAAAAGTTTTATGTTTACAAATTCATATCTGCCGTCATAGTAATAATACTATGCCTGACACGTATGGCACATCGCCACCTTGCCAGTAAAGAGTGCCACAAAAGAATATCAGGGTGCAAGGCAAGAGGAAGACCAAGGAAGACCAGGATAGAGGGTGTGAAGGATATCCTAAAAACATACAACATCCCACCTAGCCAGGCCATTCAGCTTGCGAGAGACAGGAAGCTCTTTTCCCTTTCGACGTCCCACAGGCACAAGAGGAAGGATACAGTAATGGAAGTAAGTAAAGCCTCACATAATTATACAATAAACAATGTTCTCGTTTTATACTGATCAAGGGAACTCACCATGTAAGCTTCTTTGAGGCCCCCGTTATCCGCAATGTTCTCCCCTTGAGTGAGAATTCCGTTCACATTGACGTTGATCTCTGGGACCGTATAGTTGCTGTACTGATCGATGATACACTGAGCGCGCTCCTGGGGGGGAGGGGAGAGAGAGAGAGAGAGAGAGAGAGAGAGAGAGAGAGAGAGAGAGAGAGAGAGAGAGAGAGAGAGAGAGAGAGAATTAAAAATTGGAATTTACGTGGGGGGGAGGGGGTTTAACCTTGGAGTTTCGCTTTTTGTGATCAGTGCCCCTTAACAAGAATTGTATTCTAAGGGTTGAAAAAAAAGATAAAATGACGTACAAACAAAAAGAGGTTTTAAAAAGATTAGATACATTTTTTGAACCATTGTCCAACCACTCAAAGTGGAAGATTGCTTTTCTAGCTCATACCCAGTGCACACTGCAAGTCAGATTCGTCGGATTGATGAGTCCGAGCCAGGCAAATTTTCCTTGGTGGAGTTTGAAAAAGCTACCGTTTTAACATAGTGCGACTGAATTCAATTTATTTCGACTGTTAATTAAACGCGTTTGTTTTTCAATGTCGCTAATCGAATCAGTCGTATTGTGAAAAAATGGCTTGTTTTTGCCCCGCAATGAATGAAAGATCAGACTATAGCCCAGACTCAAAACTGATGAACATCCGGTTAGCAGTGTGTACTTGATATGACTGAAGAAACAAGTCTTATTGAGGAGACAAAACAAATGTTGTTTCTGAAGTTATTGGTTTGGGGTTATTTCTCTCTGAGTTTGGATGGACTTAAATAATTCCCCACCCCTTAAAAAAAGAAAAAAACAACAACAACCCCTCCCCTTCCTCCACCCTAAACAAATTCCTGTCTTATTGATCTCCATGATGAAAATTGGGTCACAGTTAGTGTCGACGCCCAGGTACATAGATTTAAACAATGCATACAGGAATACATCAATGTTACTTAATTTTCAATATCACACTAATGCTACCAACATTCAACATGTTATTATTGGTCGCCATTGTGCAGAGCCCTGGGTTTTTTTTTAGCTTGGGTTACCATTATTATTTTGTATGCCGACGGCTAGCCTCCCCGGAGACACAGCAGAGGTA